CGGAACTCACTCCATTGCATAGTGCTCAGATCTCAAACCTGGGCTGCCAGCTTTCTAGATTAACCACTGAGCCATCATGTCCCCTTCATGGAATACACTTGTGCTTGTTTGGGATCTAACCCAGTCTCCTGATTTCTTGCGGCTGACGTAAGGTGCCTCCTGTACGGCACTCATCTGTAATGGCTTCCACATTAAAAAGAGGACTGCAGACGCAGAGAGGGGGACATCCACATACCTCTTTCTGTAGTATGGCACATAAATCATTTAGAAGAGGCTATGGATGGGATCCAGTATAGGAATCCAAACTAAAACATCTCCACTTCCAGTAAAGAGAAGTCTGTTATAATTCTGGGTCATGTACAGAGAGATGTTCGTGATTCTGTGTCTTGGCTTGTAGGAAGTTTGAGAGAAAAATAAATTTTTGTGTCAGGCAACCCATCAAGTATTTGGAAGTACTATTGTGCATCAATAGACATGGTGGCCTGGTGGTTAGAATGCAGTATTGCAGGCTAATTCTGCTCACAGCCAGGAGTTCGATCCTGACTGGCTCAAGGTTGATTCAGCCTTCCAAGGTCTGCAAAATGAGGACCCAGATAGTTGTGGGCAATTTGCTGACTCTGCCAACCACTTAGAGCTGGCTTTAAAGCACTATGAAGTGGCATATAAGTCTAAGTGCTATTATTATTGCTATCCCCTCAAATCTGCTACTTGCAAGGCTGAACCTACTTCTGTCCTTCAATCTCTCCTGGAGAGAACCACAGCCAATGAAATTTGGTTCTTTCCTTTGGAAAGCTTTTCTTGATGCAACCTAAAAACACATTTCTCCTTTTAGCAGCTATGACACACACGGCTGACTCACAGTTTTTATCCATTTGGGCTGTGCAGTACTTCAAATTCATGCTCAGAAAGGCATCTCAGAGCATGTGGGAGTGTGAATGTTGCACCTCCCTGCAAATCCACAAAGAAGATGTACTTTTCCGAGGATATTTAGAGAAGGAATTGCCCAGCAACATTCTGGGTCATGGGCATGGACTTCAAACTCTCTCATAGGTAGGAAATTTTGTTCTCATATTCAGTCAAGTGCAACCTTATTTCTTTTTCTCCATTCTTGGATGAGGGACACCAAGTTTTGACCTTCTCTAGGAGGTTTTGGTAGCCACCATGTACAAACCTGTGCTCATTGTATTCCATTTTTAGTCCCGGATTAGTCTCCTGGACCTTGTCTGCTCTTCTTCATTTCCTCTAAATCCTTCATACCATGCAGCAAGAATTGGATAAGTCCTTCAAGTGAGAAGTTGGGTCAAAGAACCCAACTGTCAACAGCTAGAATTGGAACATGTATTTCAGTCAGTTGATGGAGAGGCATTATCAGGGGGTGAGGAGTGATTATTGTGTTTCTGTAGAAGGATTGGAAGAAGCTGGGGTTGGAGTTAAAAGAAGAATTAGCCTAGAATCCTCACATAGCCACAAGCAAATTAAGTCCAACTTCCCTTGAATTCCATGGACCCTTATCTATTTTTCAAGCAGGAGCAAACCATTAGTTGAGAAAATTCATGTCCTTATTTAGCAATAAATCAGCTTAATCAAAGCTTCACATGAGGACCTGGTTTTTCACACCTGAAAGTCTCTAGGTGGTGCAACATGGGGCAAGTCCATGATTCATATCATTTCCGTAGCAATATTCTGTCGCACATGACTTCATCGTGGCTTCTTCTCATGCAGCCTAAAACTGTGTTTGCCCGTCTTTGATGGAAAAATCAAGAATTATATGTTTCATATTTAATTTGCAGATGGGTACTTATTGGTGGGCTGCTACCGGTTCGGACCAGTTCTAGCGAACTGATAGCAATGGTGACCAGTTGGCCCCACCCGCTCGCTCTGTCCTATATTTCCCTGGTTTTTAGCTCAGCTGATTCATGCGGCACAGCGGATTGCCGTGCCTCAGCTGTTTTACTCACCAGTGCTGACATAGAAGGTAAGTTTTTAAGCTTAAAATTGGCGCTTTTTGAACGAAGCGCATGCTCACTGAACCGGTTGTTAAACCGGTTGCAGCCCACCACTGCAAGTACTATTTCAAGGGTTTTTTGTCACTTCTGCCATTATTGAACAAGCAATTTCCCCCTCCTAAGCCTACACATTGAACATTTGTTCCTTTAATGAATAAGGAAGCCTTTCATATACAGGTAGTCCTTGACTTATGACCACAATTGAGCCCAAAGATTCTGGTGCTAAGACAGACAGTTGTTAAGTAAGTTTTGCCCCATTTTATGACCTTTCTTGCCACAGTTGTTAAGTGAATTGCTGTAGTTGTTAAGTTAGTAAAAATGGTTGTTAAGTGAAGCTGGATTCTCCATTGACTTTGCTTGGTCAGAAGGTCACAAAAGGAGATCACGTGATGCCAGGACATTGCCAACAGTCATAAATACATACCAGTTGCCAAGGGTCTGAATTTTGACTACTTGATGCTGCAAAAGTGGTGTGAAAAATGGTCACGTCACTTTTTTTCAGTGCCATTGTTAACTTCAAATGGCCGCTAACAATGGTTGTAAGTCAAGGATTACCGGTATATATCCATATCACATCTTGGGAACTGCATTTCTGCTTCATTTGGTCTCTGAGTCAAGTTTTACACTTTATAACAACCAAGTACATGAACTCCAGGGAAGAAAAATTTAAGACCAACCTTGTTTCCTGGCCAGTGATCAACACAATTTGTGTAGGCAACAAATTAGAGAAAGCAACTGTGTTTAGAAGAATTAGTGGTCAAAGGAAACCAGCCTGTCCGAGAATATAATAGCTGCATACCATCAAAGCGGACACCAGCCAGAGCATAGAAAAACTCAAAAAAGTAGTGCAAGATTGGAAGATATGGAAAGACCTGGCCCATAGAGTCAGACCAAAAGTCAGACATGACTGAATGGTTGACAACATCATTATCATCATCATGTTGACTTAGCCTTCCATCCTTCCAAGGTAGGTAAAGTGAGAACCCAGATTGTTGGGAGCAATATACTGATTCTGTAAGCCGCTTAGGGAGGGCTGTAAAAGCAATGTCAAGTGGTATATAAATCTAAATGCTATTGCTATCATTATCATTATCATCAAATTGTATCCTGAAAGTCTCTAGGGCCATATATCTCAACCTTGGGAACTTAAAGAGTGTGCACTTCAACTCCCAGAATTTCCCAGCCATGATTAAATCTAGTAGTAAATTGTATATGAAAAGCCTCTAAAACATTGTTTCTCAGTCCTGACGACTTCAAGACATGTGTCACAAAGGTGCTTTTCTTTCAAAAGGCAACTGGAATTTCTTGTTTGGTTTGAAGATGTTTCATTTCTCATCCAAGAAGCTTCTTCAGTGCTAATTGCATGGTGGAGAATGGAAGGATTTATATGACAACCATGACCTGAATGACTGAGAATCTGCACAGACATTCAAAAGGTGTGGATTTCAACACTCAGAATTCCCCAAAGTCCACACACCTTGAAGTCGTGGAAGATGGCACCAACCAGGATGATTAGGGAACTAGAGACTAAAACATATGAAGAACGGTTGCAGGAACTGGGCCTGGCTAGTCTAGTGAAGAGAAGGACCTGGGGAGACATGATAGCAGTCTTCCAATATTTGAGGGGCTGCCACAGAGAGGAAGGGGTCAAGCTATTTTCTAAAGCACCTGTAGGCCAGACAAGGAATAATGGATGGAAACTGAACAAGGGCAGATTTAACCTCCTTAAATAAGGAGAAACTTTCTGACAATGAGAACAATCAACCAATGGAACAGCTTGCTCTCGGAAGTTAAGGGAGCGCCATCACTTGAGACTTTCCAGAAGAGACTGGACTGCCATTTGTCAGAAATGGTGTAGGGTCTCCTACTTGGGCAGAGGATTAGATTAGATGACCTACAAGGTCCCTTCCAACTCTGATTATCTGTTATCTGAGGTTGAGAAACACTGCTTTATGGAATAAAAGAAGGAGCATGTAAGCAGCTGAGAGATAATCATGTCTTAGTGGTATCTCTCATCCTAACTCAGGAAGAAATTAATGTTGTAAGATATGACTACCATCATAAAGGGACAAGCATGACTTGGCCCTTACTATTGGTGACAGAAGTGCTGTGTGAAGGCCAACAAACATCAGTTAAAATGTCTACAGTGATTCTCTGTCATCCAGGTCATGGTTGTCCCAAAGGTGCTTATTCAAGAGGCAACTGGACTTTCTGATTTTCTTTTGAAGACATTTCGCTTCTCATCCAAGAAGCTTCTTCAGATCTGACCCCACCAGCCAGTCAGAAGCCGAAGAAGCTTCTTGGATGAGAAGCGAAATGTCTTCAAGAGAAAACCAGAAAGTCCAGTTGCCTCTTGAAAAAGCGCCTTTGAGACAATCGGTTCAAACGTTGACTTCAAAACTTGCCTAACTCAAGGAAACTTAAAGAGATCAGAAATGATGCTTTGCTCATTTGACCCATGGACATCATGGAGATGATGAGTGAAGACAATATTCAGAGCAGATTAAGCGTGCCTGAGCTCCATAGAAATCAACAATATTCGAAGTTGGGCAGAAAAAAACACTTCAATTCTCTGGATACTGGAATCTGTTATATTCTCGGGTTTCTTACATAGGTGCAGGAGCAGAGAGGTCAAATGAACAGAATAAAATCGGCCTACTGTGGCGACATGGGAGCAAGCCAAGAGGGGAACAGCTAAAATTGCAAAGAGGAATGATGCAAATACATGCACACCTCACCAAGGGCATCATTCTAGAAATGAGGGTAAGTTTTGCTCACAAAAATGCCGCCTGTATCTCTTCACATTTGCAGTGGGGTTTTTTTTTTGTTTGTTTTTTTAGTCCTGGCATCAATCTGGCCCTCTTGACTTACCGAGCGATAGTATGATTTTTTTTTCTTCATGATTTTAATCGTGGAGGAAATTCCCTGTACCCTTTTAGAGCGTAAAGTCATGCAATACAAAAAAAAGAAAGAAAGAAAGAAAGAAAGAAAACCACCCCGCTTCGTTTCGGCAGAATAATGAGAAGAACTGCATCGCTCAACTGTGTGAAATGGTGGAGGAAGACGTCCACGAATACCAGCATGCAGAACAGCCGTCGGGGGTTGAAGGGATGGGTGTGGTGGCTTGCTTTTTGCTTTTGGCGGGAGGAAGCTTTGGGCAGGTATCGTAAGATATACAAAGTTGTAAGTTTACAGGACAAGAAAAAGCCAGTCCAGATCTCCACCCTCCCACATCCCCGCCCCTGCAACCCCCACCCATAGAGAAGATTAAATTGGCTTGCTTGAAGGAGTCCATATTGACTCGGAAATCCCGTCCCCTGTGGAGGACAGAGGCATAGACCCGCTGGGAGTGAAAGGGTCGGTGTCTGTGTCCGTTTCCCCCTCAGCCAAATAGCGTTTTTCCTTCATCCAACTGGTTCCGCCATTTGGGCCAAACAGGAAATCATCTCTGTCTTGAGAGATGCTAAACCCGCTCGGGGAGCGTTCCAGTTCCTCGTGATTGACCGAGAGCAGGGATAAGGGGGTGTCGCTGTCTCTTTGCCTCTGTCGTGAGGAGAATCTGTCTGACTGAGGGCTCCAGAGCTCTCTCGGTGGGGACTGGAACGAAACCTGAGGATCCATGAAAGTCACTATTGGCAGGACAGTGGGCCTTTCTGAGTAGGCAGTGGAGAAGGGCATGGCTTGCCATCGGCCTGAGTTCTGGCCACTGAAGGACAGTGAAAGTGGGTTGTGACCACAGTCCTGGCTTGAGAACCCGAAAGGCGGGACTTTGTTCACGGGAACGTGATGGAAGCTTGGAGACAGCTCATGAATGGAAGGCTTGGAGTATTTGTAAATGATGGATTTCAATTCAGAAAACCGGTTGTCCTCAGCCGGGGACGTGGCTTCTTTCAACGGACACGCGTCGGTGACCTGGACCTGCAGCTGGCCCAGGTGCTGCTTGTGCATGTCTACTAAGAAATCCAGCTTCTTCCCCATGTCGTGGACCTAAAAGACAGCAGCCATCAGAACTCAGCTGGAATAAACGATCAGTTATCTCAACTAAGAGCAAACTATTACCCAACTGAAAACTGACCTCGGTTGAGATCATCACAAAGGTCAAAAGTTATCATGAACAAATGCAGCAACAGCACAACACTTTAGATCTGTTATGAAGGAGATGCTTAAATATTTGGGGAAAGGGGCAGACAAGATGTTGAGACTTTGAAAACGAGATGAAATTTGAGACGTTTTAGACTTTGGAAAAACTGCAGAGCAACTGGGATGATGAAAGGCCTGGAGACTAAAACATATCAAGAACGGCTTCAGATGCACTATTCAATTGAAATGGGAATTTGTGTATGTTATAAAATAAAATGAAAACTTGTTTTAAAAAAAGAAGCATGGTTTCAGGAACTTGGTATGGTTGGTCTGGAGAAAAGAAGGACTAGGGGTGACATGGTAGCAGTGTTCCAATATCTCAGGGGCTGCCAGAAAGAAGAGGCAGTCAAGCTATTCTCCAAAGCACCTGAGGGCAGGACAAGAAGCAATGGCTGAAAACTAATCAAGGAGAGAAGCAACCTAGAACTAAGGAGAAATTTCCTAATGGTGAAGAACATTTAAATAAGGGAACGACTTGCCTTCAGAAGTTGTGGGTGCTTCATCACTGTAGGTTTTTATGAAGAGACTGGACAGTCACTTGTCTGAAATGGTGTAGGGCTGTGATGGCGAACCTATGGCATGCATGGGACAGGTGGCATGTATAGCCATTTATGCAGACACATGAGCCCCAGCCAAACTGCACTGTGCATGTGCATACCTCCCAGCTGGTTTTTGGCCTGTTTGAAGCCATTTTCGCCCTCCTGGAGACTTGAGGGAAGCCTCTGCAGCCTCAGGAGGCCGAAAAATGGTCCTTCCTGAAATAACGGAAGTGCCAAAATGGGCCTGTTTTTTGGGCCTCCCGAGGCTGCAGAGGCTTCCCTTGAGTCTCTGGGAGGGCGAAAAAGGCCTCAAATGGGCCAAAAATAAGCTGGGAGGCATGCGCATGTGCAGTGCAGGTAAGGGGGAGGGGGTGTTGTGTGCGCATGCACGGGGGGGGGGGCAGGGCACATTGCATTGTGGGTGCTGACACGCGCGCTTTTGGCATACCACAACAAAAAGATTCGCCATCACTGGTATAGGTCTCCTGCTTGAGGAAGGGGTTGGACTAGAACAGGTGTGTCAAACTTGATTTTACTGAGGGGCACATCAGGGTCGTGTTTGACCTTGCAGGGCAGGGTGGGCATGGCCAACATGACATCACTCCTATAGGAGGGGCACCCATGGTGGCCCAAGCACTCTGCCAGCAAAAACGGGCTCCCAAGCTCCGTTTTCAGCTGCAATGGCCTCTTGCAACCCTCTGCCAATGAAAACGGAGCTCGGGAAGACTGCACACAGCCCCTTGCAAGCTCCATTTTCACTGGCAGAGTCATCCTGGGCCAGTCATTCGCTATTTCCTGGGCGGCCTGTGGGTTGGATCCGGGCCCCTGGGCCTCGAGTTTGACACCGCTGGACTAGAAGAACTCCAAGGTCCCTTTCCGTTCTCTTCTGAATTTGAATTTGAGGAAAAAAGTGGACCCAAACTACTGAGCGTTTCATACCTGTCTTTCAACTCTGACAAATTTTCCCATCATGCTTTGGTCTTCGGGATCATCTGCAGATGCTTTACTTATGAATGGCTCATTCCTAAAAGGAAATAAAGTTCCATTTTGCACAGAGGCAAACAAAAAACAAAACCATCCATCCATATTCTTCCTACAAATATTCCTAGCTCACAATGCATTTACACCGCCGTTCGTTTCAAAGGAGGAATTTCTGAAATGCTAGTCAACGTTGTTACTAAAGATATAACAATTGCCCCTGTGTGTGTTGAACGAAGCCTTACTATTATTCTGCAGAACGATTGTGCATTCTTGCCCTGCACAGAAGCCAAAGAAAAGTGAATACACTTTTGCACTCCATAGGATTAAAATAATTACAGGTAAACCTCGATTTAAATCAGTTCACTTAGTAACCATTCAAACTTATAACGGCAGTGAACAAAGTTACTTATGACTATTTTTCACGCTTACGACCATTGCAGCATCCCCATGATCACGTCAGAGATGATATTCAGCCAGTTCTGACCAGTTCTGGAGAACCGGTAGCGGAAATTTTGAGTAGTTTGAAGAACCGGCAAATACCAGCTCTGACTGGACCCGCCGCATCTATTCTCTGCCTCCCGAGTCCCAGCTGATTGGCTGGGTCTTCTTTGGCTGCCCTGCACAGGAGGACAGAGCTGGAAAGCAGGTTAGTGGGGTGGGGAGAGAATGGGGATTTTGCAGTCTCCTTCCCCTGGAGTGGGCTGGCTTTTATCCCTTAAGGGAGGGGCACCTTGCAGCTTTACTCCCGAGTCGCCCGTGCTGCTGCAGCTGTTCTTTCCTTCGAGCAGCCCTGCGCACACACGCACTGGGCACAGGCTCCTCGGAGACTTCTTCATCGCTGCTGCCAGACTCCACAAGCTCCGAAGGCAGCACCCCACTCTCTGATAGTCCTGGCATGTGCACAGGGCTGCTCAAAGGAAAGAGCAGTTGCAGCAGCATGGGTGACTCAGGAGTAAGGTTGCAAGGTGATGGCCCCTTCCTTAAGGGATAAAAGCCAGCCCTCAGCGGTGGGATTCTTTGCAGGAAGCAAAGAAGTTCTTTCAACTCCAAGTTCTTGTGGAAGTCCTGTCTATTCTGGTTTGTTTTCGGAGACTTTTGATTTTGGATATTTCCCTGCAATTAATCTTCTGTTCCTGGCGGCCTTTCACAACCTTGAAAGGGCTTGCTCTTATCTGGGACAATTAGTTTTAATGACTCCTTGCTGTGAATGTATGGAATTCACAGAGACGCATTAAAAAAAGTTTGCTTTTGTGTTTTATTTGAACGAGGCTTGGGTCAGAACAATGAGGTATTTTTGATTTTTAGATATAAGAATGTACATGTTTCAGTTTTAACTGTATGAAGTATATCTATGGTCCGCATTATGTGAGTGTTTAACAGAGATGGAAGGGAGGGGGGCGGAATTATGGCACCAGGGAGAAAATGATGTAAATGTGGCTTTCACCACATAATATATCACCTTGGAGACTGCTGCAAAGGGTAGGAGAATGTGCTTCCTTTCTGAGATTTCCTGTGTCTGGGAGTTGATGGAGGCCCAGGTGCAAAAACCATATCTATTCTGAAAAGAGATTAAAAAGAGGACATAAGGACTCCTAGATGTAGTTGTATTACATACTGTGTAACTCAGAGGTCTCCAAACTTGGCAACATTAAGGCTTGCGGACTTCGACTCCCCAGAATCCCCCAGCCAGCATTAGGACTACCTATAATGGGCCCGTTGGTTAAAACATAACAGAATAACAAAAGGAAGGAACCTTGGAGGTCTTCTAGTCCAGCCCTCTGCACAAGCAGGAAGCCCTATACTATTCTGGACAAGTGGCTGTCCAGGTGTGTCTAAGAGCTAAAGTCCTAGAACATATGGAGGCACCAGTTTAAAGAAAGATGTTTTTTTTACAAGAAGGAAATTGCCCTTAGCAAAAATATTCCTTCCTTCCTTCCTTCCTTCCTTCCTTCCTTCCTTCTCTTGCACCTCCCTCCCATCCATCTCCTTCCTTCCTTCTTTTCCTTCCTTCCTTCCTTCCCCCACCTACCTACCTACCATCTACAATCCATCTTTCTTTCTTTCTTTCTTTCTTTCTTTCTTTCTTTCTTTCTTTCT